TATGTGAATTTGATACTCTCCACCGCTTAAGAGCGAGAGCTCAGTTATCATGCGACGAAGATTGACGACATCCTCAGGTGCAAACTTGAAGCCATCATAAGCGCGGAGGACTACAGCGGTTCGAGATTGGTACTTCGATATATCCGTGGAGTTCTCCCGCTGGGAATCCGTACCGCGCTGGGAGTCTATGTCGACCTGAGGGTCCATATCGCGCTTAGCGTTGCCCGTGGGAGGAGTCCAGATTGGGATGCTGCCCGCATGGGTGGGAGATGGGTTGAATCGGCCTTTGTTCCGGCGCACGCATTCATCTTGAAGTCTGGACCAGTTGACCCCGCTAAAATCGATTGTTGTAGTATTCTTCCAGTCTTCGTGTAGAGGGAGTGTAGTATTGTCGCCAAAGCCATACGGTCCGAGCAATGCATCTCTTTCCCAGCACACAGTGTCGTCAAGACCAAGCAGCTCAGCAGATCCAATCACAGCATCAGGTTTTCCTATTTGATGCATTTCATGTTAGCCGTAATCTCGCAAAATATTGCTTATAAATGTTTGCTACGCACGCCATGGTATCCCGGCATAGACCTTCGAAGGTGGATCCGATGCTTTCAGAACTTCTCCATCAATGAAACTTTCGCAAGGGACGTATTGGCCCTCATGTGTTTCCCGATATTCGCTTGAGGTATAGTCGGGGTACGGGGTGAATGGAACGGGCGTAGGAGTGGGAAATGGTTTTGAATAAGTTGGATCTGCTTCTCCTTCGACTTCGTCGCCAACTGGAGGATACTCAGGAATGTTTTCGTTTTTGGGAACGAGCTCTTTGATACCGCCGTAGTTATATTTTAGGCTGCGAGATGGTAAGAAAAACTAAGGGGTTAGCTGTGAAGTTCAACAACATCCAACAGAGACAGCCATAGCAAATTGTTATATGCATATTTATAAGGTGTATACCGTTCTTTCCCATTCACCTACGCCATACACATACATCTAGCTTAATGTTGGACATGTCGCTGATTGTATCTGCAGGAATACAAAACTAGGCTGGTCCGCGACGAGAGAGATATAACTTACTGCACAAAAGTTTTTTCCCATAATGGCCAGCCCCACTCATCCAAACCAGAAGTACGTGGAACGCCATATCCCCACCCTCTTCTTGCCTTGTCTTCCCTCCAGATCTTTAACTGTTGCGTAACAATGATCGGAGTGATTATTGCTAACAGTATAACAATTGCGATAAAGGTCAAGCATTGTCGTCTTGTGCATCTACGTTTCCGCTGAATATAGGCCTTCTTCGGCCAGCCCCATGCTGACTTTGGGATAATTCTTGGATATGCATAACCAAATACTGTGCGATTCCGAATTTTCAGTTTTACCCAGACAAGATCGCTGCCCTCCGAGCTGAAGTCGTTGGATACTGTCCGAGAGACGGGAGAGGGTAGGAATGAGGAGTCGTCGAAGGAGGATCGAGGAGAGCAAGGAGATCGACTGAGGATGGAGTCCGTCTTAAGCTCCTGGTAGTCGTTGTCGCTGGGTGAAGAAATGGTAATGCGTATTGGTGGACGTAACGAGCCCACATATCGCCCGATTCGACCAATCGTCGACATTGTCTCTTCGGCGCCGGAGACGTCGAATGGTAGTGTTCGAATACTATATCTATAGCCTGTCGATACCGTGTATAATTTTTTTTCTCTCTTTTTTTCTTCTATTTTAACTCTTCGTCCTTTGTCTTCGTTTTTTCCCGGTGTGGACTTTACTCAGGGACAAAAAAAAAAAAAAAAAAAGGCCTAGGTGCTTCTATCTTTCTTGTCGACGGTGAACGTCGTACAAGACAGAGAAGGGAAGAAGAAGAAGAAGAAGAAGAAGAAAGTATGGTTTTAAATGAAAAGGAGGGCTGGATTACATGCGGGGGGCTCTGAGATATGTAGGCGCACAGTTATCGCCGCGGCTTTATATGTATATGTGACAATTGAGAGGAGCCCGAATTAACCTCGTATCGTGGAATCGATTTTACCCTCCTCGCGGCAAATCCTCGTCGCTGGTCCAAGCCCGAGCTGTGTTGAAGGGCCTGAAACAGGCGCAGCCAAAATCCGCTGATGTCTTGAGAATTAACCCACACAAACGTTAAAAAGCGAAAAAACGAAAAAGGCCGTCAAGACATGCGCGTGAAAGGCAAGAAAATGAGAGAAAGAATGGAAGGTATCCGCATAGGTCGAGATGGCAGTGGAGAAGTCAGAAGGGCGAGACCAAGAGGCTGGTGCCAACGGCGAATATCTTGTATGATTTGACCTCTCCCTCTTCTTAGGTTTTTCATCCGGCTTGTCTTCGCCAATTTGCTGCCCCTTGAAAAAAGCACCTAATCTGGCGGGTTCAAGATTGGATGGGGGGGGCGGTGTATCAGGGGCCCCAGACCATCAGGGGCCAGCCCGTCGACCACCCAGCTGCCAGCTGCAGGCCATACGAGATTCTCTAAGCTTGAAAGAGGCACAAACTCGACTGTTTTGGTAACTCTGGTGGTCTCTCGCCCCCCCTTAGACTGCCCTCTTTAGCCTCGGTCATGCCTCCAGAATGTGGAACACCCGAGCCAAGGAGAATATCTGCTGGTCAACCAAAGCGACAAGAGAAATGGTCGAGGCTTCGAAGTCGCCATGGCACTAACTAGGCCATATCATGCACGTCTATGTATGTCTTCTGCAGTTCTGTACCGCTGTATGCAAGATATATTTACTAACACTAACGGCCTCGTGTAGCTAAGTATACACCGCAAGACAATCGATATCGGCTACATGTATACAGCCTCGCCTGGTGCAGGGTATGGGACCAACAAAGAAAGATGAAGAAGACGAAGACGAAGAATCTATACCGTTGCAACATGCCGAAATAACACGCATCGTGTCCCGTGTCACCACGCACACATGTATGTGCACATCAGAAACTGTATGGTCCAGAGTTCGACTCGAAGTCAAAATAACAATCGTCTGTCCATGGGCAGGCACACGTGGGGGAGCGCCGACAAACAGAACTGGTGCCTACGGGCACCTCCACCACCATGCATAATACGAAAAGGAAAGCAGGAAAATGGACAACCAACTTTTTAGCTTTTAGGCCGAACGTGCGGAGTATGGAAAGTAGGCTTGCAGATTTTCCCATCAATCCTTTGCATTGCATGCATCACCTCAGGATCCAAATCCAAATCCAACCCAACCCCAAGATAGCATCACCATCCGTATTACATAACACTGATACCTGCCCGGGTCGCTCAGGTATGGGACTCAAATACATAGTTCTAACGGAGTCCAGCACGCGACAGCCGTTGCCTCGAGCCAGGGTTCCTGACGTTCTGTCAAACATTTTAAGCTTCTCGAAGGGTTGTGGATCAGTTTGACTCCCTTTCTTGCCAGAACTCGCTAGCCCAGCCACTCTAGAACGAGAATGATGGGACCCTGATTTAACCTCGGCCATTCAGATTTTGAAGCCCAGCCTGATCACCTGACCAGTTTAAAGCTCACAATAACGAGGAAGCCCTCCGACCAGCGACAACCGCAGCTCTGGCCTGCGGGGCAGAAACCCAATGATTATAAATTCCTTAACTTGGTCTGCTAGGGCGTGCTAATACGGAAATATTGTCCTAGTTGTGCTAGGGTTGCGAAGGGTTTTGTCAGTCGCCTGAGACCTGTCTCGCTTTATCTCTCTTTTTTTTTTTTTTTTTTTTTTTTTTTTGCTTTCCAGCCCTCTGATGTGTCAGCAGAGTAGCAAATTTATACCAATGCCGCAGATATCTAGATCTAGGCAGTTAAGCATAGATCACCGCTAACTTCGAATATTCACGGTCATTATCGATAACTGTTCTAAATATCGCGACTAGTCACCATAAGAAATTACTTGATTGTAGTTTGTATAGACAAGTGTCTTGAGTTGTGATTTGCATTGCTTACCAAGTCTAAAGTACGGGCTCAAGGTAGGATGATTGTTTTTTTTTAAACATCGCTTCGGAATTTTGACAAAACAAGGAGGTGTATATGGTATGGAGTAATATATGATTCATTGCTTGACCCTGCCTTCAATATTCGAATATTAGAGACCCAGGCCTAGTTTAATATTTGAACAACCCTGCGTCGGTAAGGATAATCTAAATTTTTGCTATGATAAGACAATAGAGATCTGTGTTAGCCATCCTGAAATATCCATTCTCGATGATTGATTAGGGTTCGCAACAGTTGGGTTTAAATGCATATGAATGGATGAAGTGTCGCAAATCTGAATCATATTTACCTGATTCGAAATCAATCCTATTTTAGTGAGTGGATATTGTCCCAATTCCCTAATTCGGCGGTTACTGTATTTCAAATTTCGCTTCGACGGAATCTCAATTACAACGTTAACATGCTCATGTCAACTCAGATACCCAAAAGAGCTGAGAGAATATTAAGGTTCAATGATAGGACATCAAACAACGCAGTAGTTTGTTGCAAATACTAACTGCGACTGGCGACAATATTACAAGAACGGCGTCAGCTATCCATATTATATTAAAATATCAATTAAAAGATATTACTGAAGACTTCTGATCCAGTCTCCCAGGCTAGATGATTTGCGGTATACACACACCATGACTATTCACATACTACACATGAAGTTCTGAGATGCAGAACTATCCGTTGCTTTCGCCAATGTTAACTTGACGCTCAATACTTCTACAAATTCCGTAGTAAACACCAAAACCGTGGACTAAAGTTCGACGTTCTAGATGAGGGCTCTTGTGCTGAGAACAAATCAGAGTGCGGCATGATTCATACACATGCGATAACTGCCACTAATACCAGTAACCCGACAAAGTGTATGCAATGCATATCTCGTCTTGGTCCTATTAACGTACTGGTGCTAGCTACTTCTTAGAATCCCGATTGAAGTTATATTAAAACTTTTAATCTAAAAGCTTCAAAAAAAAAAGGAGACTCCTCGAAACTAGCCTAGGAGGCCAGGCATCTACGAGGCTAAAAGGAAACCCATGGTTCCTACGAGGATCGAACTCGCGGCCTCGGCGTAACTAGAGAATGATTCTCATATTAGCACCGCGCTCTAACCAGCTGAGCTAAGGAACCATCGATAACGGGAGTTTTTGTGGGGGTTTTATATTCCACCCTAGCCCTGCTTTTCTTGAAATTTTTGTGGTTGACAAACAAGGGTCTGCGACAAAACAAACTATCTGGGTGGTAACCACTAAGCTTTCTGAGCTGTGAAATTATTTTTATCATTACTAATTTATAAGTTTGTCGGAATTTGGGATCGTGACTCGAGCTCTACAGTTTGAAGACCTGCTATGAAACCCGAGAAAAAACCTGGTGTTAGAATGTAACAATGTCAACAACTTCTTCGTCACGTTCGAAGCTTGGCTGAACAACAAAGGTACATGTATAGGCCAGGTGACTCTCTATTGCTTATCTGGTCGGTTCGCGTGTAACGTAAAATCATTCACTATGCCATAACTTTCTAATGTCATATACTAAATGTTGAGAGTTTCCCATGGTACCTCACCAAATTCTGAAAGCAGCGCACATTTCACCTCAAGCCCAGACTTCCTTTTTACAATGTCCAAAAAGCACCCTTCATAGTTCGCCGATATTAATAAGTCCAAACCCCATTCATAGAGACTTTCTTTGCCAGTAATTATCTCCTTGGTCTGCCAGTAGTCCAAAATACTCCCACAAGAATTGATGATATCACCTCTCATATCTGCTAAACCTGAGTCACCGGCCCACCCAACACCTCGCACGAATATCCTAGCTTTATTTGACCTTACTCGTTTGAAACATTGTGCCTTGCGTTCCCTTATTAAGTAATTCCGACGTCTTGTGGGTTCTATGGTATAATAAATCTGTCGTCTATACGTCCCGTCCTGGTCAACCGCATATACAGTACCACCACCCTTCCAATTCAGTGGATTATTGGGGTCATTCCCGTCACATCCATCCAATATAAGCGACTTGAAATAATAGATACATATTTCTGTTTGTGGTTTAGTACCACGGAGATGAGCCGGCCAGTAAACGCCCAGAGTAAATCCATTGCGGTCCTTTTCGGCCCCGATACGAACTAATTGGATACCGTTTTGGTTGAGGTCGTCTGGGAGGGATTGTATATCGCGGCAGTAGTTATTTACATGGTGGACTGCGAAATCGTAGTCGAAATAATAGTATGCGGTGTACCGCTCGCCTGATGATCGGTTAGTCTCATTTCTATATAAGCCGTTACATCTAGGGTTGTCGCGTATTCTAGAGGTGGCGGTAGCGGTCTTTGTGGGGCGATGTGTCCATCTAAGTTTCGGTTTTGACGTTGTCTTGCTAGGGTTCAAGGTTTTTGTGGGTAGAGCGGAAAAGAACCTCGAGACTGTTCTCGTTCTTTTATGACTTAATGTAGACGAATTTATGGCGAGAACTCCGGAAAGTACTGGACGGAGGGATAAGGTTAAAGTACTACTCAGCGGATCAGCTGGGACAGCTGTAACAATGGGTGTAGGCAGGCTTGATTGGTGATCAGTGATATATTTTGTGACTACATGGACTGGTAGTGTAACCGTGCGCGAAACGACCTCCGTTACATATACCCTGGGTAAAATGCGCCGTTGCTGTAGTCCTGCCACCCGAGGAATACGGTGGACGTATCTAACAGGAATATTGGCTGATGCTGGCACTAATGACGTCGGTTGGGTGTAAACCGTTTTCGAATTCGGTATACTTAACCTTGCGGTCAGTATGGGTGTTCTTGTAGCATGTATGTGCAACGTCAATCGTGATGTTGTTTTGTGAGTGGAACCAGATCGTGTTTTCAAAATTACTCTGGTTGCAGAACCGGCTATAGGCTGTGACGTTAAGTTGGTTATAGAGCTGGACTGTTCACGTGGTTGCGACATTACTTCAGTCGTAAGGCTAGGTTGTGAGTACTGCATAGAGTAAGAAGCCTTCAGGGGCCTGTAACCTGCAGGCCATTTTAACTTAGCCTGCGTGGCCGGCGAGGCGAATGGAGTCGGAATAAGGATAGGCAAATCGAGGAGGGTTGTAATACCACGGTCACTCAAAGCTACCTGCGAGGTTCTAGGAGCTCTGTAATGGACGCTCTGAACTGTGCTATTCCGGTTGGCTGGGAAGGGAACCGCTTCTACGGACACCATGTATAAGACTTGTACTAGGATTGCTACTAGAGTGGCCCTAGAGAAGAGCTCCATTGCGGTCACTAGTTTTCTAGCTTGTATTTTCGAAAACTACGCTAGTTATACAGTCATGGGACTTAGTCTCGAACTATCATGTTGATTGAGAGTGGTTTATATGCAAACGCCAGTATGGTAAGGCTCACGCCAAAACCTGTGAAGGCCGCGATGCGTGAACTTGTTATTATCTGGCCGGCTGGTTGATAATATTTACTCCCCTTCTTTCAAAGTTGATATAAAGACCGTGTTTGGAGGTATGAAACAAAATACCGACCAATAGTGGCCGCTATAGTTTCTGCACAATTGTTTGACAATTTGAAACCTTTGAAAGATTTTTGAAGCAGATATGGCATTGGCAATCCACCCCTGTATTATGTACAATTAAATTCTATATGTATACATGGGCGAGGTTGGAGGACAGGTTTGCGGGACGAAGACTGGGATGCGAAGAAAGAAATTTTAGAAATTACTTTCTGTTTCTTGCAATAAAGACCCGCGCGCTAAATTACAATCGCCGGAGTTATGTTAGTTCCAGGAACGCTAGCGAACGCGAGTCATTGCCCTGCAGAAATGACAAGTCTTCTACTGCACTAGAATAGCTTATTAATATGTTTTCGATAGGACAACTATGGCCTTCGAAATCTAGATTTTGAAAGGTCTGGCAGGGTCTAGCAGCTGCACCCCACAATACAAGGGTCCACATATGCGTTGTGCGATCAAAATACCACATCGGATATCACCGCATCGTGTGAAACCGGGACCGCGATTGAGGTGACTGGGCTTTAAGAGCAAAAAAAGAACAAATCAGGCCGATGGCTGGGAAAATTGGTAAGCAGTATTATCTCATCACGTAGTTGATAAAGAGTCATACATCGTGGCGCCGAAGACTTATCGCCGAACTATCACCGGCATCGGATATCTTTGTTGTGCACGAGTCAAGACCTTGGAAAGTGCCATCGCTTTGACACGTTCCGAGCCGAAGCGCGGGGAGCAAGAGCGCATTGGAGGGGTTGTTGCCCCTCCTAAAATTATAAACTCTCCGGCAAACAAAGTCCCAAACTTCCTCCTTCACGTCATTACCAAACCTTTGGGCAACATTCCTGTGACAGCATTGGAAACCTTCAGCCTTCTGGTATACTGCCTTTCTTTGTTCTGGTCAGTTTGGTCTCGCGTGCTGTTAGTGATTACAGCCTCTGACAGTGGTTTCCAAAGATATTCCAAACCAGATAAACCGGTTCCTGTAAACATGTCGACCGTCGGCAAGGTACAAACGGCCCAACAACAATTGCAGATGCATTGAAATGTCCCCCCTGGCTAACTGGCAGAATTGGGTCACAATAGCCAATCAAGTGCCTTGCGGCTGTTGCGTACGAAGCAGGAAAACCACTTACGATCGAAGAAATTGAGGTCGCTGCTCCCAAGGCCCACGAAGTCAGAATCAAGATTGAGTATACCGGAGGTTAGTGATTCGAAAGACCTAGGAAATTAGAGTTTTGGTTGCTAATACTAGGCTCTAGTCTGCCATACTGATCAGTACGTGCCCGAGATACCCGGTACACGAAGATGGAGAGAACGAATCGCTAATGCCATAGTTGTATAGGTATACCCTTAGCGGAAAGGATCCCGAAGGTATGTAGTTCAAAAAAGAAGCCTGTTGAGCAATTCGAGAAGCTCGACGCTAAGATCAATTCTAGGGGCGTTTCCTGTCATTTTGGGACACGAAGGGTAAGGTCTATAAGATGCAGAAATAAAACGGCAGGATAGTTCAGTAACATAAATTTCACACAGTGCTGGAATCGTTGAATCTATTGGAGAGGGCGTCACATCTGTCAAGCCTGGTGACCATGTAAGATCTTGTCGCGCTAGTGGGAATCTTATTTGGTTCCCTAAGAAATACTAATTGTCTTACTTCCTGTTTGAACAGGTAATTGCGGTAGGTTAAACTGAAGAATAGCACCCGATACACCGTTACGCATGCTGACTGGGTTCGCGCCAGCTCTATACACCTGAATGCCGGTAGGTTAAGGTCTATTTCTACCCTTTCCATCACCATATTGCTAACATCATAACAGTGAATGCAAATTTTGCAAGAGCGGGAAGACGAATCTTTGCGGAAAGATCCGTGCTACCCAAGGTATGCTAAATATATTTTCACGATTACGACAACTAGTATGAAAGTACGCTAATAAACCCAAAAGGCAAGGGTCTCATGCCTGATGGTACCGTTCGGTAAGTTTTAGGGCAGAGATTACGCAGCTAAGTAGTTACTATCTTGCTAACAGCTTTGTAGATTCACATCGGATGGAAAGGACTTGTGAGTGCACTTACTCCCTAGGTTAGAAATGGGTGGAGCAGAGCTTACGAAATCTGTTTCAGAATCCATTATATGGGTGTATGTATCTGAAATTCTCCCATGGCAAAATTTCCAACAATGGCTAATGCAACTTATAGACTTCGACGTTCAGCCAGTATACCGTTGTTGCCGATATTTCCGTAGTCGCCATCGATCCGAAGGCGGGGCTTGACAAAGCCTGCCTGTTGGGATGTGGTATTAGTATGTACCAATTTTGTTACCCTGGGCTTTGGATTGGATATAAACTGATGATTACTAGCTACTGGCTATGGTGCTGCTGTATGTTTTACGACCAATGCGACTACGGTTTCCAATTGACTAACGGGGTCGTATGAAACCTAGATCAATACAGCAAAAGTTCAGAAGGGTGATAACGTTGCAATCTTTGGTTGTGGTGCTGTAGGTCTATCAGGTATGTTCAACAGGGCCAATATTTGATACATTACCATACCATACTAAGAGAATTCCTCGACAGTCATACAAGGGTGCGCTCGTAACGAAGCCGGGAAGATAATTGTAAGCTCGTTCGTTCACAGTATATACAG